CTGGAATGCCTGCTGTGTCTGTTAAGAAGACGATATGCGCAACTGTGCACACATGTCGGACATCACATAGAAATCGTTTAGCCAAGGCAAGCTGCAGGCATGACGAGCTCCGGCTTGCGTGGACGATGGCGCTGTGCCCCGCTGGTACCAAAAGGCGCTAGCGACTCTTTGGCCGATGTCTCTGGGCACGCACCGCGAGCACCACATCACGGCAGTATCTCTCATCCTGCTTGACCATTCCTAGGGTCCCTCAGGCATTCCTGCGTAAGTCCTACACCATCGTCGTCATTGCATACCGCATCTACACCTTGTGCTTCTTCAGCATGGCGGCTGAGCCGCGCAGTCGCGACAGCTTCCCGGTCCCAATGCGGGTGCTAACATTTTATGATTGCCATGCTAATATCTCATAGACCAGTCCGCCCGCCATGCCCGCCATGCTAGATGACCCCACCGCGCCGGTGATATATAGGACCTCTGGCGATGTACCGTACCCTCCTCCCGGTGGCCCGCTACCTGTAGGCATTGCACCATGTCAAGTCATCCTGCGCGATCGCGTGACTACCGCAACGATCATACCCTTCTCTGCGCCGAATCAAGTACCCCTCACACTACTGGCATACCTATGCGACCAACTGGGTCGTGAGATAGAAAAGGGAGATACGTACCCCATGGTTGATCCGCTCGCTCTTGAGGCTTTCGGTCCGTACTGGTTCGGTGTCTTTGGTGCGATTATGCTGCTGGGTGAGATCCAGGACGGTCGCGAACTACATGAGATGGCGCGGAGAGGTTGTGACTGGGAGAGGGAATGTCTGGGTAGCTTCTACATCAAGCCAAACTACCCGGGAAGGTCGAGCCATGTCTGCAACGGCGGGTTCCTAGTCACGGATGCGTCGCGCAATCGGGGTGTCGGTCGCTTGATGGGCGAGACTTATCTGGACTGGGCTCCGAAGCTTGTGAGACTCGCCGTGAGGGTTACATCGCATGCGCTAACACGCTCAGGGCTATACCTACTCCGTCTTCAACCTCGTGTACGAAACCAATGTCGCTTCCTGTCGCATATGGGACGCCCTCGGCTTCAAGCGGATCGGTCGCGTGAAGGGTTGCGGTAACCTGAAGTCATATCCCGGCGAGCTTGTCGATGCCATCATATACGGAAGGGACCTGGGTCAGGATGACGAGTTTGTGTCTGAGGAGCGCTTCGACAAGATCCGCTTCTATCTCAAGAACGGAAAATACCCCAACGGTGCTGATCGAGCAGAAAAGAGCCGTCTCCGTAGCGCGGCGACGCACTACAAGCTCACACCCGGAGAGGGCGACGGCCCTGAGAAGTTGTGGCTCAAGGGCAAGGAGGTTATTGCGGATCCTAAGCATCAGTATGAGATTGCTCGGGAGATACATCACAAGTCACACGGGGGCATCAATAAGACTACGGCAGCGATTGCGGAGCTCTACCATTGGGTTCGCATAAAGGAGACTGTCAGTCAGGTCATTCGCAACTGTCCAGAGTGCAGCGAGATGAACAAGGGCCTGTCGGCTATGCGCCAGGGTCAGAATCAAGCACGGGCAGAGGCGAGGTCAGGATCTAGTTTCCTGTCATCAACCACTACCCAGCCAACTCTGACACCAACACCGCCGAGTTTGTTCTCACCAACACAACCACCGCCTCGTTCAGACTCACCGGGTGGCCAGCTACAGCTCGAAGCCGCACAGCACCAGAGCGCAATCTATCCGCAGTACGCCCAAGATAACGGCTACGACCTGCCAGTCGATCCCGCACTCATGCATGGTTTACAGGCCAACACCAACCTCGCCGATCTTCCGCCATCGCCGTTCCTTGCAGCTCAGGCGAATGGCGTACCTCATCCGGGGGAGCTTGACCATCAGCGCATGAGTCTTGATCCAAGTCTAGATGAGCGGGCGCCCACCGCAGGGGAGGAGATGCGTAGGAGGTTGAACCGTGTGAGCCAGTATGAGTGAGTAGACATCGTGTGGTGAGGTGAAGTGACAAGCTTAACAGCGTATGGCGAAGGTGAGTATACCAGTGATACCAGGCATGTAGGCGATGGGAAATGTGTATGAAGAAGCCGCAGGAGAATACGTGGAGGATCATACCCAGGATATAGCGGAGTCTCCGATGATGCAAGTAGCACAACGATGAAATCATTGCAAAACTCTGGTTGATTTGAATCATACATGTGATGGTGTCTATTTGAGTTGATCTTAATTGCTGTTTGACAGTATCTAAGCTAATGGCTACATGTTTATGGGTCTCCCGTCAAACTCGCCGGCTAACATCTTGCCCCTCTCACTTTATCTGTTTCGCCAGTTCCCCTCTTATATATCTAGACCCAACTCTTTCACTCCCAATCAGACATCTTCGGACAACCTCATCCTCATCCTCTTCCCATTTAACCCTCAAACAGCCCCCACTCCTTCACTTGGAAGCTCTCCAAAACCTGCTCCTTGACCGCCTTGCTATCCTTCATCAACTGCGTTTCTCCACCCTGTTGTTCTGCTGGCGTGTACTCGCCTGGGTAGTGTGGGATGTTGACTGATACCATGACCTGCGACTTGTGTTAGCCAACGAAGGGATGAACATTAGATAGTGGTGATGTAGTAATATACTCACATCAGTGCCTTGCTCCTTGAGACGGAGAAGAAGGAGATGTATATACGTGAATTCGGGAGTCTTGCGGTTGGGGTGAGGGTTGGGTGTTGGTGGTTTTTGGATGAATGATAGTGCTAGGACTGGCTTGTCTCTGTCATCGTGGTCAGCCACTCATACACCCTTCTGTATGCAGAATTCGACCCTCTCTCTTCTCGATCCTGCTTCATCTTTCCAGAATGATAGCGTGGAATACTTACGGCAAACTCTTCATCACAGCACGCTCTTGCGAGATAATCGTGCTCTGATCACCCGTCCCCTCGACTAAATCTCCGAAATGATACTGCAGCGCTTCTTCGTCGCTGTTCTTCTCGACATACTCTAGGATCTCAACGACGATGCTGGAGTAGCCGTTGTTGTCGAGGTAGACTTCCTGGTGGTCGGGGATTTGGCGGATTTGACTGTTGAGTCAATTTATTAGTATACTGTATTTTTGATTGGGAAAGGAAAGTGCCTGCCAAATTAGGCGTTTGGAGTGGCGGTGTTGATGGAACGCATGCAAAGGGAAGGCGCGGGATGTGGGGGCGCGCAGGATGAGAGAACTTACGATGCGTCGGCGAAGTTTGAGGGCAGGTCGAGGGTTATTGCGCCGCCATAGAGGGGGGTGTTTGTAAATGCCATGTTGTACTGTGTCTCAAGCTCGACTTGTTGCATTGTCCGCTGGGGTTGATGTCGTTCTTATGTTGTGACTTTGATGTTGGTGATGGCGAAAGCGTAGGTAGCCACCAGGCAACATCAGGCAGCATGGAAAATGGCAACCTACATCGAATTTTCTTGACACCGCAGTAACAGCGCAGTAGTTCAAACAAATTGCTGTGAAGTATTCGCATAGGCATAGTTCAATGTGCAGTCTGTCAATACTGATTGAAGTCAATCTTTTTACAGCATAGATTTAACACAGCGTCCAAATAATACCGTTGATTTTGCTGGCAAGACATGAAGTCACTGTGATAAGGTCATGAGATCTTGGAAACACATGTTTTCGATTTGAAATGTAGGGTATCGTCTGAACTTTTTGTCCTTCTATATGTCCCAAATGCCAGTTTTGAACGCCGTGCAATGCATGTTCTTCTACGAGCCCGAGGGCGTCCTAACCGCAGCTATCGTATTGCCACCGGAGTGATGTCTGGTTCCCGAAAGCATTTCAGTGGTCGTCCTGCACTCCTAATCCTGCCGTCCATCTGCCGTGGATTGCACATCGGATAGTCTTGGCCGTTGCCGTGACCTCAACCTGATGCTGCAACCTGGTCAACCTCCATCGGGGCTGTCGCGGTGGTCGTGCGCGTTCCGTTGTTGGTCGTAAGGCCTATCGCTGCCTCTGCTTCTTTCTGCGAGTATGGCTCTTCGCGAAGTTGCTTGACTCTGCAGATTGATTAGAACGAATCATTACGATCGCAAACAATGGAATTCCTACCTGCGCTTATGGACCTTGCCCTTCTGGTGTGCGACAAAGTTGGCGTCGCTCTCAAAAAACTTTGCGCATTCCTTGCAGTAGAATTCGCCCAGGCCGGGCAGATCTTCTATGGGCTTTGCATCCTTGAATTCCGCGAGATGCTTCTCGTCGCGCAGGTCGGCGTGGATCTGGTCGAGGTCGCGCGTGTGTCGACGTGTCTTCTTCTTGGAGTCTTGTCCGCGTATGGCTGGCATGGTGGGCAGTATCCGCGGCCGTCGGTTATCCGTGTGGAATCGTGATGGTCGGCTATAGAGAAAGTTGCAGTGTGGGGACACCTGCCGACGGGGGCCCGTGCCCGGTCTGCAGGTCAGAAAGACTTGTGGAGCTAGGTCGAATCAGGTGCTGGTAGATGCTACTGTCGCTCCAGACCCGAAATTTGCCATGTCTGCAGGCCTGCACGCTGACTCGGCACACAATTGTTGAGTCGGAAAAGGACGCGCAGGCCGCCGGCAGCAGCGCGCGCGTGAAAGTGCTATCGCAGAACGCCAATCACCTGCAAAAGGAACGAGCGCGGGGTTGGTGAACCGCTGCCGGCTATGACGTCTGGGTGAACACCTATAGCTTCCCGACACATGGCTGCGCGGCCTCCAAGACGTGAAATAGCAGCGGGCAGCCAGTCGCACACAGCGCAATTACTCTCTCCATAATTGCGTCTCCATTACATCGCCCTTGCACGTGAAGCGGGCCAACGGGACTACGCTGCCGACCTGTTTCTGGTTCTGGCGCCGAGGTATTCCGCACGCAGCTGGGGCTAGACGAACCAATCACGCCCCTCGTGATCCTCATTAGTTATCGCCCAACTTGAGGCAGCTTCTGACGTTCTTTTCCTCCGCTTCCTCCATCACTCTTCTCTCCACACCACTCCCCTCCTCAAACTTCACCATGCAGAAGTTCTCGAGGCTCGGCCGCCTGGGCCAGAGCCTTGCTTCGCGCAGGCAATTGGCCACCGTCAGCGATGCTCCCCTCTCCCGCAAGGTCGAGATGACCAACTGGGAGAAGGGCCACTACATCAACTACCAGAAGATGAACGAGAACCTCGAGATTGTTCGTGCCCGCTTGAACCGCCCGCTCACCTTCGCCGAGAAGATTCTCTACTCCCACTTGGACGACCCCCACGGTCAAGAGATTGAGCGCGGCTCCAGCTACCTCAAGCTCCGCCCCGACCGTGTAGCTTGCCAGGATGCCACCGCCCAGATGGCCATTCTTCAGTTCATGTCAGCTGGTCTGCCCTCCGTTGCCACACCCACTACCGTTCACTGCGACCATCTTATCGAGGCCCAGGTTGGTGGTGAGAAGGATTTGGAGCGCGCCAATGAGATCAACAAGGAGGTCTACAACTTCCTGTCCACCTCTTGCGCAAAGTACAACATTGGTTTCTGGAAGCCCGGCTCTGGTATCATTCACCAGATCGTGCTTGAGAACTACGCTTTCCCTGGTGCTCTCCTCATCGGTACCGACTCGCACACTCCCAACGCCGGTGGTCTCGGTATGGCCGCCATTGGTGTCGGTGGTGCTGACGCTGTCGATGTCATGGCTGGTCTCCCCTGGGAACTGAAGGCTCCCAAGGTCATTGGTGTTAAGCTTACTGGCAAGCTCTCCGGCTGGACTGCTCCCAAGGGTACGTATTTGCAATATTGGTTTTCGAAGCGGGGCAATCACGCTAACGAAGTCTATAGACATTATCCTCAAGGTCGCTGGTATCCTCACCGTCAAGGGTGGAACTGGTGCTATCGTCGAATACCACGGACCCGGTACCGAAAGTCTCAGCTGCACCGGCATGGCGACTATTTGCAACATGGGTGCTGAGATTGGTGCCACCACCTCGCTCTTCCCCTTCAACGACCGCATGTACGACTACCTTGCCGCCACCAAGCGCCGCGATATTGGTGACTTCTCCCGCGAGTACGCCGCCCAGCTCCGCGAGGATGAGGGTGCCGAATACGACGAGCTCATCGAGATCAACCTTGACGAGCTCGAGCCCCACATCAACGGTCCCTTCACCCCCGATCTAGCTACACCCATCAGCAAGTTCAAGGAGGCCGTCAAGGCCAACAAGTGGCCTGAGGAGCTTAAGGTCGGTCTCATCGGTTCCTGCACCAACTCTTCCTACGAGGACATGAGCCGTGCTGCCTCCATTGCTGAGGACGCCATGTCCCACGGTGTCAAGGCCAAGTCTCTCTTCACTGTCACCCCTGGATCCGAGCAGATTCGCGCCACTATTGAGCGTGACGGTCAGCTCAAGACTTTCGAGGAGTTCGGCGGCATGGTGCTCGCGAATGCGTGCGGTCCGTGCATTGGACAGGTATGTTGTATCCCAGTCATGGTAGCCTGGAGGTATCCGATACGTTTTGTCTTGTCTCTTGACAAAATAAACGTGGTCGTATGCTTCAGGGCTGTCGTATTTTGCTTTATTTCAAGGTAGCCTGGAGGCATTCGATACGTTTTGTCATGTCTCTTGACAAAATAAACGTGGTCGTATGCTTCAAGGCAACCTATCATCCTCCACTTCTCTGAGCCCGAATGCTGACGACCCAACGGTGGGACAGAAAAGATGTAAAGAAGGGCGAGGCCAACTCGATCATCTCGTCGTACAACCGTAACTTCACTGGCCGTAACGACGCAAACCCCGCCACCCACTCTTTCGTCACCTCCCCCGACCTTGTTGTTGCTATGACTATCGCTGGAACGCTCGACTTCAATCCTTTGACTGACCATTTGACTGCGGCCGACGGATCCAAGTTCAAGCTCAAGGAGCCTACCGGCATGGGTCTTCCCGCCAACGGCTACGACCCAGGCCAGGATACGTATCAGGCGCCGCCCGAGGATCGCTCATCCGTCTCCGTCGCCGTTTCGCCCACCTCCGACCGTCTCCAACTTCTTGAGCCTTTCTGTAAGCAATACCCTGGTGCGAAATACACGGTGCATACTAACTTTTACAGCTGCCTGGAACGGCGAAGATGCTAAGAACCTCCCTATCCTTATTAAGTGCCAAGGAAAGACTACCACCGATCACATCTCCATGGCCGGTCCCTGGTTGAAGTACCGTGGACACTTGGACAATATCTCCAACAACATGTTGATCGGTGCCATCAACGCTGAGAACGGCGAGGCCAACAAGGTCAAGAACCTTCTCGACGGATCTTACGGTGCCGTCCCTGATGTCGCCCGCAACTACAAGAAGAACGGCGTCCCATGGGTTGTCATGTAAGTACCTTTGCTATACACGCTTATCAGCCTCTTGCTAACATCGAACGCAGTGGAGACTGGAACTACGGAGAGGGTTCTTCCCGTGAGCATGCTGCGCTTGAGCCCAGGCACTTGGGTGGCGCTGCCATCATCACCCGCTCCTTCGCTCGTATCCACGAGACCAACTTGAAGAAGCAGGGTATGCTTCCCCTTACCTTCTCCGACCCTGCCGACTACGACAAGATTGGCCCCAACGACCGTGTGACGTTGGCATCCACTGAGCTCGCCCCCGGCAAGCCCTTGACCATGACCGTTCACCCCGCCGATGGATCCAAGGACTTCCAGGTCAAGCTCTCGCACACCTTCAACGAGGGCCAGATCGAGTGGTTCAAGAACGGCAGCGCTCTTAACACCATGGCCAAGAACGCCAAGCAGTAGATGCACAGAAGAGAAAACGAACGAAAACAATCACCACCGGGGATGTAAATACGGAGGACGGAATACCCCGCAAATGCTTCACGATTGGGGATGAAAGTCAAATCAGGGGTGGGGCAGAAATATGAAGAGAGAGCTGGGCGTCCGCAGACGGGCGCAGCAGTAACGGCTCCTGGGTCGATCTTTCGGGCTCAAAGTAGTTGGGTTTGCTTGTATTTGTGATGATTAGCATGCAATGTATGACTGATTTTTTCTTGTTACAATCTGTATCTGCTGTGATATGAGTGACGATCTGAGATGTTGCTGGCGAAGACGTGTGGTTCCTTTGTTTGCGTACGCAAAGACATGAGGCACAATGAAGTATACATTGCGATTTTTGCCCGTGTGCTGTAATCGGCAACTGCTGCAAATACCTCCAGGGTACGTCTTATCGTTTTGTACAACTAACAAAACTTGCATGTATTCGCCCCGGCTACTCCTAGAACTTGAGTCTACATGCTATGACATTCACACGGTGCGCGACTGAGGATGACGCGCACAGGCTAAGGCACGGTGCACGATACCGTCGCAAACGTGCGAGTGGATCCTGGACCCGTTCCCGCTAGTCGCCGGGACAACGGCCGACAACAAACACGCTCGGCAGTTCTTCCAACGTCTGGATATCCTTGCGCCAGCAACATTCTTGGAACCAATCGCACACACAACGGCTTGAATATCCTTACATATTACAAGATTGCATATCACATCACCTCATCATGGCGCGTCTACGCAAACCAAGCCCGAACGAACCCAGTATCTTTATGCCGCCGTCCGAGACGAGAGCAAGCCGATCCAGTCCTCGAAAAGCCACACTGCGATACGCATCATCGCAAGAAGATGACAGCTCGATACTTGTGCCAAAGAGGTCGAGGCGCACCGCGCAAGACATCAGCATATCGCAAGACGAAGAGCACTCCTTCCGCATACCATCGATTGCAACGCCCAAGGATGCGATCAGCCCCCGCAAACAACGAGTGTTGCGACCGGTCGAGAGCAACAGCCGACTCCTTCGAAAATTGAGTGACGAAAGCCTGGCAAGCCCAGAGAAGAAACAAAGAGAGAGGAGGGTGCGCAGTGGAACAACAGATACGGATGTGGGGAATAGGAATGGGCTTATGTATGCCAAAAGCCTGGCTAGAAGCGTGGTGAACAAGCGGAATAAGAAAGGCAAGATCAATGTCGTAGGGGAAGTCGAGGCACAAGAGGCCGCCCAGCGGTCACGAAGTAGGGAACACGAGAGCACAGAGGAGGCAGTCGCGCAAGACGACGAGGACGCCGAGGCCGAAACAAGTCTGTGGTGTGGCGATGAGGAAGCAGAGACACAAGAAGAGGTCGCTGAACCAGTCATCGAGATCAGCGAGGATGATGAAGAGGACGAGCCTGTTGTAAAGTCGCGAACAAACCAGCGACAACCGCGCGCACGGCGCGTCGTATCTGACAGCGAGGAGGACGAGAGTGAGCTAAGCGCACCACAGCCTACCAAGCAGCCTCCGCAACCAATCTTCAAGATACCCGAACTCAAACCGCCGACTGATCTGACTTCCATGCGACCGCCACATCGAAAGGGTCATAGCACAATATCGAATTGGGCGCAGGAAGTCGTCGACCTCACCGACTCGCCGGAGGCCCCGGAATCTTTCGTGCTTCCTGAACGTACCCACGCCCGATCAAGTTCTTTCGCAGCATCTTCTCGGCCTACTAGCTCAGCATCGAACGGTCCGCTTGCGATTCTTACGTATTCGCCCACACCTACCAAGCAACGCTCGCCCCGCAAAGCTCCGCCCATCTCGCGACCAGCCACTCCTCCCCTGGCACCTCCCAGTCCCACCAAGCTCGTCTCGCCCTCGAAAAAGAAGCCTGTGATCCCCAAGGCGGCCGATTTAGACGGAAGACCAAGTCTTGACGCGTTCTGGAATCCTGCAGCTGTAAACGACTGGACCGACCGCCACTCGCCAGCTAAGCAGCTCGTGTCGCCCAAGAAGCAGAAATGGAGGGACGACATAGTCAAGATGATGGAAGGTGTTGCTCTGGAAGACAGCAGTGACGAGGGTTACGAAAGTCCCATCGAGAGTCCCAAGAAGAAGAAGCCCACAAGTCGGAAACCAGCTAAGGAGAAGACACCAGAGACCGAGCCGATCCCGAATGTCAAGCAGATCCGTGAGCAACGCAAAGCCTTCGCCGAACGCAAGCACGCCATAGCCGAAGCCTTCCTCATCGAGCTCGACACCACAATCTCATCAGGTCGCATCCACGAGCTCTCGAAACCCACGGGTGGTATCAAGCTCGTCTGGTCCAAGACCCTCAAAACAACGGCCGGTCGTGCGAATTGGCGTAGAGAGCAAATACGCATCCGAACCGGTCCTCTGCCCACCGACACGCGCATTGAGATGCGACACCACTGTTCCATCGAACTCGCCGAGAAGGTGATCGATGATGAGGAGAGACTCTACAACGTACTCGCGCACGAGTTCTGCCATTTGACCACATTCATGATCAGCGAAGTGCGGAACAACCCCCACGGAGCGGAGTTCAAGTCCTGGGGTCGCAAAGCTACCGTCGCGTTCGCCAGCAAAGGCGTTGAAGTCACCACGAAACACTCCTACCAGATCGAATACAAGTACGTTTGGGAGTGCGTCTCCTGCGGCTACGAGTTCAAGCGTCACTCCAAGTCCGTCGACCCTGCGCGCCACTCGTGTGGAAAGTGCAAGGGCAAGCTCGCGCAGACCAAGCCCACCCCTAGGGGCGTTGGCGCCGGTGCTGCTGTGGGCAAGGACGGCAAGAGAGAGAAGAGCGAATACCAGATCTTTGTCAAAGCCAACTTTGCGCGTGTCAAGAAGGAACTTGAGGCAGCGGGCAAGGATGCGCAGATGGGCAAGGTGATGGAGGCTGTGGCTAAGCAGTATAGAGAGAGGAAGGGTGCGGGTAGTAGTAAGGGGAAGGAGATTATTGATCTGGAAGCTGCTCTGGATGACATGAAGATCTAGATTTGACAGTACATGAATGAAGTGTATGAATAATGCCCTATAAAAAACTAGTTAATCTTCTGTGTCTGCGTCAAGAGTATAAACTCACGTGTACGGACATTGTGTGAGGTTGTATACACAAAGAAGCAAGGCCGTAAATTTTTTAGCGAAGGCAAAAAGAAAAGCATGAAAGCAAAAATAAATGTACAACCTCAGCATCTTGCTGTTATCGGACTTGACTCTCGCAGGTTCTGCGGCAACTGGGCCTCCCTACTTGTCAAGTGGCTGTTCTGAGACTCGAACTCAGGTTAATGGCCTTCAATTCGCCCATAGCGAGGAGGATGGTTACGCTGTGGCGACCATAACAGACGACAGGTTGATGGAGAATCGTAGAATTAAATACAATATATAGTTGATTGAAATCAACACAAAGTCTTTAGTGAGCTGTTACCGCAGCGGAAAAGATGAGAGAGCGGATGCGAGGCGTTATCAATTCGTTTGCATGGTGTGAAACAGTGAAAGAGGAGGTGGCAGTGCGAGCAGACTAGCAATGGGCCTTGTATGGCCATCGGAACTGGAAATCGGACTCACCGTGGTCTTAATACGCTGCAGTGAAAGCAAAGCACTCTCGTATAGTCAGACCCTGCTGAACTTGTCACCAGTACTAGCTGAAGACTACAGTAAGAAGCTGAGGTTTATCAATGTTGATCATAGGTGAGGTGAGTTGAGTGATACATTGGTTTAGATTAGGTTATCAGTGACTAGTAGAGGTGAGCTTTATGTATTCAGTAGTCTAGCAGTAGAACGTAGATACTTCGAACGAGGACTAACATCTTCTAGCTCACTAGATTATCTTCCGCTCCGACAAAACAAAATGGGGCTAGAAGCTCCTCACTACACTATGTCCACACGATCAGACAGCACTTGTCATATCCCAGCTATCCCGCTATCACCATCATACTAGCGTCGCCTCTGCGTCTTAGGGGTCGTCATCACCCACATCCTTATCCCCATCCTCACCTTTTTCCGCAGCCTGGTTGCTAGACTCATCTGTAAATGGGTTCTGGTTCCGACCCTGGTTCTGGTTATGCGCATTCGCCGCGTTCTGGCCGTAGAAGCTACATACCACATTCTCCCAGTGGTCTGCAGTAATCGTCTTACCAGCAAACATCTTGAGCATGTGCGAGAACTCGTCGTCAGAAAGACTACCCTGAGGAGGCACATAGGAGGACCCATCAACTGCAGGGGTGTGCGAATCTGCAGATGACGCATCGGGTATCTGTGGGCGAACTTGCTGCAGTGTGTTTTGATACTCCAGATGGTTGACGGACTCTTTAAGACGGATGTAGAGTTGGTTCATGGCGTCGACCATGTCGCGGGTGTCGTTCTGTTGGTCTTCTAGCGCTTTGATACGGGCTTCCATGTCTGCATTTGCTGTATTTCCGATGATAAGAGGACCAGCAGCTGTGTCATGATCTGTTGAAGTGGGACGAGAGGGTTCCACGTGAGGTTCCTTCTGCTCTTCTTTCTTCTCCTTAGCTACATGGGGAACGAAGTTGAGTGTCTCGCCGTCTGAAGTCTGTATTTGGTTGGCGCGGGAAGAGCGTTTGGGCTGCGAAGTAGCTGTCATACGGTTCGATTGACCAGCCTGGTTCTGAGCCGCGTTACGGAACAGATCTCTAGGGGAAGAGATTGATAGGGAAGAGCGAGTGGGCAGAGACATCCTTGAAGCCTCGTCCACCGCGCGACCAGCTTGTCGATCGGTCCGCAGACTAGAGAACTCGTTTACTGCTTGGTCGACGTCACGCTGAGAGCGTTCATCTTGGGGTACGCCAAGGCTTGGTGGAAATACGGCGCTTGGTCGAGGTTGATTGATTGTGTTTCCATGTACACCGACTGTCAACCTGCCGTTGAAGTCCTCGCCAGATGCCCCTCTGACAATCGCACTGTTGAGTCCCATCCTGCCAGACTGAGACAGGCCGTCGTTGATGGAAGGGCTGC